GATGATAATACACTTGATATGTTGAATACCATTTGTGATTAGCTTTAGGTACACGACCATTGATTAACACTGGTTTGGTTTCGCATAAGGCAAATTGATTTAATCTGAATTGTTTTTTGCACACTTGACAGTTTGGCCATTGACTATAAATTGTTTTATCATCATCAGTAATCAGTTTAGCCGTATAATGTGGAAATCTACCAAGTGGCATTTTTCAACACTTTGTATATAACAGCATAGAGCATTGTGAATTTATATAGTGTATGGCAGAGAACAAACAAGAAATATTACATATTGTTGTGAAATAACAAGAAAGATAAGAAAGATAAGAAAATGCAGAAAAAAGTTTAAGAACGAAAAAATAATGCAGTGGTGAACTGAAACTGAACACAGATTAGCTACTTGTACTATCTTTTTGAACGGTAACCACGTTAAGATAATTATTAACATTGTAAAATTCATTTTATGATTTAATTTTAAAGTCCAGATCAAAAGAATTGCAAGAAAAAAGGTAAAAAATAGTGACATGTAATTGTATTTTGAGTTCCTTTTTATTTGAAGAACAATAAATTTAAAGGAAGTGTGAAATGTGTCATTATTATAAGTGAAGAAGGAGGAAATAGTTTCACTTGAAACCGTATAAAGTTTTATATTTCTCTTTAAGCATAAAAACGTTAAATCGAGACCAGCAGACATGTGGCAGCTGCTGCTGCATTTCATTACCAGTACCAGTAGTCTCTCAGTTAGCCGGATCAACTTTGTTTCTGTCCGAGTTACTAATACGATCGCAGTGCAATCAGCATCAAATAAAAATTGTATCAACTATTTATGTGATTGTATCGAAGTAAACAAGCAGAATAGTACTAGTTACGGTGTAACCTGCTTACCATTAAATCAAACATGTCAACTTCTAAATCAACCGTTTTCTATCAGTGAGCAATATCTATCGATTGACTATTCATCAACAAATTTCGTTTATAGTTTTTCGGAGAAGGCGACTACCACAAATATGATTAATGTAGGTATGTATATAAAACAGCTAAAACCAAACGAAGTCCCTATGCATGCAATGAGATGAAGATAGCTTGAGAATCTCGATGCCAGAAACCAAGATTATCGGCTGTATGATACTTCTTAGTAAAAATTGCCGTTTTATCAATATTTTTACTATTTTTAACCGAGTTTTGATTTGTTGAATCGGCTTTCAAGGCATCTGAAGCTGATACTTATACTGAACATATAATGATGGAGCCGAAATAAACCTGTTTTGGGCAAACTGTAGTTTGAAACTCTGCAAAAGTTCTAAGTTTACTTAAAACCAGATCAAAGACGTTTGAAAAACGATGAAAATTTTAACAAAATTGCATCTTTTACTAAAAACGGTCTTATAGTTGAGATCAGAATATGCTTACTCATGGTCAGTAGAATGGTGTAAAAAATAAAGAGGTTTATAGAACTAATAAAATTATCGATTTTATACAAAAATCAGAAATTTTTAGTACTAAGACATCTTATATGAAAAGAAAGATGTTTCATATGTACAGCAGGAACCGTTAATTGCTTTTCTTTGTCGAATTCTCTTGCAGGTTTACCGGTGCTGTTTGAAGACAATAAATCAGGATTGGCAAAATGTATCATATAACGGTATTAATTCAATACGTGGTAGTTCTTGATGATCAACAATAAATGTTAATCTAAAGAACATTTATTAAATAAAGAAGACTCTAAATTTTCTCATACTCAGTCATTCCCATTTATATTTCTGTTGTGTGTCTACAAAGTTAAACTGATTTTTAAATGAGGCTAACTGCCAAAAAAGCGATGTATATGAAAAACTAACGCTTTTATCCTCCGAAATTTTTCGAAAATTTAGTAGATATGATCAAAATAAGCACCTCAATTCTGCGACCTGGATATTACATTAACAAACTCTTTGGAGAAAAAGCACTGTATTCCGGTATGCAATATGCGTCTATTTGTTCCACCGTTTGACGTTGAGCCCTATACTCTTGAACAAGATCTCGAACAATCCGATTCGGAACCACTATCCATCTCAAAATACAAGACCCATCGACATTTTTTGAATAACTTTTGATAGGAATGAGATAGAGACCTGCGATTTTCGCTGTTAAATAGCCAAGACTTGAGCAGAACTTTTCAAGCGGAAGCAACTTTTAAAAAAATTCCAGAGATCGGATTTTCAGAGGAACTTTGGAAAATCAGCTCCGTTCTCAGAAAACAAACATACAATGTTAGTAACTTTTTTGTATGCGTAGATAGTTCGGACGTTAGTCTACAAAATTATGCAGGTTCCGGCTCTCTAGCTATCGTCGTTCTGGCAGGGCTCGCTTTCCCCGAGCACGTGTCTATCTCCGAGCAGACATCTCTGGGAAGCTCAAAATGCCATGGACTATAGGTAATCGACTACGCTGAGCATAGTAGTAACATTTGTTTTTGTGTAGAAATGAATATAACTTCGCCAGAGGCATTGTTGTGAAAAACCGGTTTTTCGCCTCTTACTAGCAAAAATTAAAATCCTTATATCTCGATCAGATCTCATGCTGACTCAAGGAAATTTTCAGGAAAGGCTCAGGACAGCTCATAAAACATAATCGAAGACCGAAAAGGTGAATGTGAGCTGGGCATTGGCTTAAGGTTTTCCAGAAACCTTCTGAAAAACCTCTGAGCATCAGTGTTCTGCTGGATCACTTTTTCGGCGTGGTCAACAATATATGGCACCTTTTAAGGCTTTCCTTGAGTCAACATGAGATTTGATCGAGATATAAGGATTTTAAGAGGGGGGTCCCCCCACCCGTTTTTTTCCAGCAGTTTGTGGAGGACACTTCGAAGTATACGTCTCAACAAAGCTTTCAGTTCCCGGACTTATAGTTTTTGATAAAAAAAATTTTTAATTTTTTTTCG